GCAGCCATCATTGTTGTTTGGCGGGTCTGGGCTGGGGATTCGAACCCGCCACCTTAGGTGTATGTGGCTGGTGCCTTAGCCGCTTTAGCCACAGGCGCTGAGCCTGTTAACCCTGTTGATGCCACTAGGGTGAATGCTCCCCAAGCAGAACTTAGCAAGCATAACTCATGATAATGGCTCAGAACAAGTGATGTTTGCATCTTTTTTTAAATTTACAAAGTAAAATAACAAGGGCATATGATAATTACTGTTCTTTTCAAATGGAACTTCTCTAAAGCTCGATGTGTGGGAATTACACTCTCAAGTTTCATGCTGTCCTACTACAGAGGACTTCTTGTTCTTCTAAATGTACCTTGGCAATATTCCGAGAAGTTAAACCAGTTTTCCAGTCTCCATACTCCATGCATAGAGCTTCTGGTAATAGCACAGTGGAGCCAGACTGCTGGAATTTGAATCTCAGCTTTACCAAAGATTACCTCCATGACATTGGGAAAATTGTTTAATCTCTCTGCACCTCAGTTTCCCTGATCTGCAAAAGGTTAGCTATACCCTGTACCTAACTATACTCTATAACTATACTTTGTACCTCTCAGAGTCCTTAGGAAGTTTAAATGGAATGCCATATACAAAGTGTTTTGTACAGTCCTAGGCACCTATCAAATTTTTAATAAATATTATAATAAGTACAGCTAGGGCGGCGCCCATAGCTCAGTGGGTAGGGCACCAGCCACATACACTGAGGCTGGCTGGTTCAAACCTGACCCAGGCCAGCTAAAATAACAATGAAGCAAGAGAATGGCTTAAGTCCAAGAGTTTGAGGTTGCTGTGAGCTGTGACACCACAGCACTCTAGCCAGGGCAACAGCTTGACACTCAGCCTCAAAATAAATAAATACAGCTATTAAAATTATTTTATACATAATAAAATATGTATAAACCATACATATCTTATTGCAACCATCTTAAAGAAATCTCATCAAATCTTTTATAAATATAACATGTTTTTGCCTAAAAGAGTTCCTGTTTTTGTGGGATCTCTGGGCAGCCAGAGCTCTAATTTAATGTAATCTCACACTCAATAAAGGCCAGTAGAATTAGGTTATGAAAATCAACTAGCCTTGTGATGTAGTTTGGATTTCTTCTGGCAGGCATTTGCAGACTGCGAACATTTTAAAAGAGAGGACAAAGTGTCTAGCTTAGAGCAGG